GCCTGAAGAGAAGAAAATAACAGTAATACAAGATTGGCCCAGACCCAAGACTGTTACTGAACTCATATCTTTTCTAGGACTTGCTAATTACGATAGAAAGTTCGTAAGGAACTTGTCACTGATAGCTACGCCTATGAGAAGACCTTTGAAGAAAGAAAAACCTTGGTTATGGGACAAAGATTGTGAGTCGGCATTCAAAAAGTTGAAACATGTGTTAACTCACTATCTTGTCTTGAAAATTGTTGATCCTTCTCTCCCTTTCACTTTCAGTATTGATGCGAGTCAGTATGGAATTGGGGCGGTGCTACAACAAGATGATGGTAAAGGATATAGACCCATAGAGTTTATGTCCAAGCGTCTACCATTAGATAAAGTAGCTAACTCCACGTACGAAAGGGAGCTGTATGCTCTAGTTGCAGCTTTGGACACCTGGAAGCACTAGTTGCTCATGAGACAAGTGTACTTATACCACTCTACTCTGAAGTGGATAAAGACTCAACCTCGACTCTTCGGCAAGTTAGTTCGATGGTCTGCATTCATTGATACGTTTGACATTGAATTGAAAACTATTAAAGGGAAGTCTAACGTTGTTGCAGATGCCTTGCCCAGAAAATCTGATTTCTTTGGAACTATTGTTTCTTACCTCGATATTGGGAATGACCTGAAAGATCAGATTCTTAAGGGTTATACCTACCATTCGATTTGGAGTCCTATAATTAGGACCCTACAGAGGAACCTTGAACTATTCCCTGAGTATCAAATGTCTGACGACTTACTCTTCTTCATTGACAAAATCGAAGAAAGACTATGCATTCCACATTAAGAACAAGTCAAGAGTATGACTATTGGGGAATGCCATGACACAGAAGGACACTTGGGATTCAAGAAGATGTATGCGAATGTTAGAAAACACTTTGAATGGAAAGGAATGAATTAGGATATGCTCACCTGTGTGCGAACTCGTCTTGTTTGCCAAAGGAACAAGCCCTCGCATGAGAATCCACTGGGACTATTGAGACCGCTACCTATTCCAAGTGAGCCAAGTGAGTCCATCTCGACTGACTTCATGAGCCTCACTAAGAGTCAGAATGGTGATAGCCAAGTGATGGTCATTGTTGATCGATTCTCTAAGTATGCTATGTTCATTCCTCTGCCTGCCGAAGCAAGAACGAAACTCGTCATCCAAAAGTTCAAGATGCGATGGGTTTTGGAATATGGATTTCCAAAAACCATCGTCTCTGATCTGGATGTATGGTTCACTGGTCAACAATGGAGGCATACGGTACCCAATTGACCATGCCGTCAGGAAGACATCCTGAAACGAATGGACAAACTGAACAGATGAACTGTTTGTGCCATCAACTTTTGCGCATGTATGTAAGGCAAGAAAAAATTGATTGGGATGAGAACTTGCCTAAGATTGTGAGTTCGTACAATAACAGTGTCCACACCATAACTGGCAGAACACCGAACACACTTCACAAAGGATGGAAGCCGCAACGTCCCATTGATGCTTTGACCAGGGACCGAGTCCAACGGCTACCCCCAGAAACCCGAGAGTTTGCAGTTCTGTATGAAGAAGATATAAGGAAAGTCAAGGAAAATATCCAGAAAGCCCAACCACAGATGATTGAATAGGCTAACAGACATCGCCGGCCATCAACATTCAAAGAAGGGGATCTTGTTTGGGTCAAGTCTGAAGAATTTTCCTTGGAAGAAAATGTATCACAAAAGCTGCTACGTGTCTATTGTGGACCCTGGGAAGTTCTCAAGGTGATAGGGGATATTGATGGACCCTCCTACAGAATAGATGTACCCCCACACCTCAAGACCTATCCTTTTTTTCATGCGTCTAAACTACTGCCATATGTAGAAGGACATGATTTTCTCAACAGGCCATCTACGTTTCCTCCTTGAATGGACAGTGGCCATGAAGTTGAGAAGATACTTGAGCATGGATACTTAACTACAGGCGGCAGAGGAAGACCACAAAAGCAGTTAAAGGATAAGTTAAAGTCTCAACCTTCGTCTGAAGCTAGATGGTTCAGCAAGAAAGAACTTTTGCCTACTGCTCCTGATATCGTCTATGCATATGAGCGTGGATGAAGAGAAAATTAAGTGTTTCTGCGATGGAACTCGAAAATTGGGCCGGCAGGAATGCAATCACCCGCTCATATCTGCCTAGGTCGTCGGCCAAGGGGGCCACCCGCAGGCCACAAGTCGGCCGTCAGGTCCTGCGTCCGACCGTGGGGCACAGAACCTCTGAAATGTGGCTTCAGAGGCCCAGCGTCTGACAGTTGACCAAAGTCAACTGCCTGTCGGAAAATTGAGGCCCACGAGTCAAAGTCTTCACGAACCCAGTCCAGGCCACCGATCAGACACACACACTTGGTTGTATGCAGGTATCCAGACAGCATTCGGTCCAAGTGGAAGTCTGCAACTCTACGAGATCCAGGCTGTTGGCTGTGAGTCAATCTGAGCCTCCGTGGGTGAGAGACCAGAGGCTGGTCAACGTCGTCAACACTACTTATTGACCCAGCCCCTGGGAGTCAACATTCAGTCTTGCCTTGCTGACTTGACGCTGACTTGACTCTGGTTGGACGCTGGCAATACGCTGGCATTGTGCGGAGACGATGCGAGACTGCCGCATTCACGTGCTGGCACCTCTCTGCTCTGGCGCCAGCTGTCTTCATGCTTGCTGACGTGGCCCATGCCACGTTGTCTTCTATATGTTGATGTGGCACTGGCCACGCTGTCTTGACATTGCTGACGTGGCGCATGCCACACTGTCTTCGACACTGATTGAGATGCGACAAGGAGGGAGATCGGGATCCGTGGGATTGATTGAGTGAGAGAGAGGGGACTTACCTGTTGATACTGTTGACATTGCGCGCTGCAGAGACGTCTTCATGGGAGAGCTGTGCCTACGTGGCACTCCGCTGTGATCAGATCTCGTCAGGCTCATTTCTTGGACACTGTTTGCTGATGTAGAGGAGAGGAGAGGCCCGAAGAAGAAGTGGGAACTGAGGGCTTCCTTTCTCGATGGATACTTTCTCTTCCACCTTCTAAGCCCCTCCTTTGTCATCTGGTTACGAGACATTGTATCACAGATTACATTTCATGATTATTGGAGAGTCTGGAGACATTGATCAGCGCTGAGTTATCTTGTATTTCGACACTTGACGAGTTTCCTCCAGACTGGGTTATTACAGGAACTCTGAAATTGTTTAATATGATAATTGTTGAAATTTCTAAGCTGCGCTTTCCTGGACTTCGCATCTTTGGTCTCCAGTGTGGATTTTGTGTGATCTCTCAATGTGTGTGTGTGCTCAAGGTGATGAGCAGTGAGGCTCAATCCACCAGGTTAGGTGCTTAACTGAATCACCTGTGCTAGTGGGACCATGCTCCTGGTTGTTAACCTTGAAGGTCGCTACTGGACTCTTCAACGACTTAATTGTCTCAAAGAAATGGAAAAAAAAGGCCGACTTTCAATTAGATTAAATCAATCAGCCAACTAAAATCAAATCGAACCTTTCAATCAAGCAATTAATAGCTCGCTAACTGACACATTTACTCGGCTCAATCATTCAATCAGATGAAACAGGGCAAGGGGCAATGACTAGGTCATACGTTCACTCCCCACTGACCGCCTGGGCCATGCTTTTCCCCTGGTCTGTGTTGGTAGGGTCTTTGGCCATCACGGGTGTGTCTGTGTATTTGTGTGGGTTGTGTTTGGTGTGTTAGAGAGTGTTGGTCTCAGACATTGTTGTTAGTCGATGGGGTGTGGGAAGTAGACGGGACGCCTAGCCACTGGCAAAATGCGTTGTCTTTGCATTCTCTGGCCCTCTTGCCTGTAGCACAGGCATCACTGCCAGTGGGCCCCATGTAACAGGTGCAAGTGGGACCTGGCCCTAGGTTATAGGTTTTGGTAGGTACAACTCTTGGCTAAAGTTGGCAATGTTTGTAGTTGTCCTGTCATGTCGGACAGTAGAAGAGCAGTATGGTTTTGGCTCTTTTTTTTTTATAAAACAACAGCAGTGATCCTGCTTTTGAACCTGGCCGATAATTCCTCGTTCATCAGACAGGCACACACGAGCTACGGGCTGCGCACCTGTTTTCCTTTTATTTTTGCTTGGCCACCTCAATGGCACAGCAGCATATAGTTGGGATGGGAGAAGGACGTAATGCGAGAAGGAGGAGAAGCCCCCGAGTTGAAAGCACTTCTAAGTTAGGAAGATTTCCATGACCGGCCGGTCACCCAGGCGTGGCGCCCGGGATACCCGGGCATGGGGGAAAAATAATAATAATAAAAATTGGCGGTGGGGGGTTTCCGCGCTCTCCGAGAGGAGCCCAAATCCGGCCTCTTTTCTTTTTTTGAGTGTTGGCTGTCAAGGGGGGAAAAGGAGAGAGTATGAATGAATTTTAAAGGGGCTAAGGGGGGGTGCCTTATTGTGATTTGTTTTTCTTTTTCATCTTCAGTTCCGTGAGGAATTCTGATGTCACCCTCAGCCAAAAGTTGTTTGCAACTTTGTATTGCAATTCTGCAGAAACTTTTTTTTTCCAGATTTTTTTGGATTTTTTTTTTTTTTTTTTTTTTTTTTTTTGCGCTGGGGCTGCCCGGGCCCATGCCCGGGAGTCATTCCCAGCCGGTCACCAGGTCGCCAAACCGTGCGTAACATCAGGACTTGGGCGCCCGGGATATCTCCCTAGCTTCTAGGTGTTTTTTTTTTTTTTTTAAATTTAACTTCGGACCATTTCCCGACTTATGTGTGAATTCCTTTCGCAGGGGCCATGCTAATCTTCTCTGTATCATCGCCTTTTAACGGATGTCCCTAAGGACAATGCAATGAACACATTGAAATTTTCATGATAAGTCCGCATCTGTTCCAGTATCTGAGGAAAGGAAGGGGATTGACCATCAGAGGTGTGCTGCTGCACAAAGGCAATGATTGGTGCGCTGGTTGGTTTACTGAATTTTTTTTTCTGACATTTGGGGGCAGGTGCATGGATACCTGGATGTGCAAAGAGTTGCGGGGAATTTCCATGTGTCAGTCCATGGGATGAGCTACTTTGTTCTCTCCAAGGTATGTGCAGTAGTGTAACATATGCCCATGGTGGCATGGATTATGAGTGGGACTGGTCTTAGCATGTTAGCAACGAGAACTTGCCCAACAATGTGTGTAGCTGTTGAACAAAGCTCCTTTCTCCTGTTGCAAATGATTCAACTGTGATATCAGAACTACTTATCTTGACTCACATGTATTGTCTTATGCCGAGTGTCAGTCGGGCTATTTGGAATCCATTCCGATTATCCTCTCTGCTTGAAGTGGGTCAAGAGAATCTGTTTGGGAAAAATGGGTACCCCTATCATATGGCTAAAGCAGTGTGTTTGCTTGTGCGTGCATGTGTGCATTTGTGTGTGTGTGTGTGTGTAAGAGAGAGAGAGAGAGAGAGAGAGAGAGAGAGAGAGAGAGAGAGAGCCAGTCCCCGTACGATGTGCATTTGCCCTCTCAAACCATTTGTTGCTTTAAGTTCCTTTCCTGTCCATCCATGCTCTTGGCAACTGATACCCAGTGTTATCATTTTCTTGCCATTATCTTGTCATTATCGTCATTTCTGTATCCATAAAGGTTTGAGCTCTTGACCTGTTGAAAAGCACCTCCATGTGTGTACCACCCACCACTTAGCAGGTACAGCTGCTGGTCTGTTGAATACAGATCACATGGCATGTGTTTCATGAGCGTGCATCTCATTATAGTAATCCAGTCTGACCTGTGCACTCTGAGGCTCTTAGCAATGTGCTGGGGATCTAATGTGCGCTTTGTTTTGCCACTCTAAATGAGGGCCCTTCCCTCTCTCTCTTTGGGTGGATGCCATGATGACAGGTGTTTGATGATGTTGGTATGATCAATGTGAGTCATCATATCCATAAGGTGTCGTTTGGGCCCGAGTTTCCAGGCATTGTCAACCCGCTTGATGGGTTTGTGCGGATGCTGGATGGCAGAGGCAACCCACCAATGGACAGTGGTACATTCAAGTACTTTTTGAAGGTGAGATTTTTTCAATCAATTATTTACTTATTTATGTTTGATTTATTTCCACAAAGGACAGCATGCTTTTCAGATGTAGGAGGAGCCAAATACTACAATCGTGTTGTGACAGAGATTCCATCATGCTGCCAGCTGGAAATTCATTGCAGATGTGCCATTACAAGTTACAATGGCGAACCTGATTGCCTTTCCAGGCTCATTTTGGGCTACCGGTAGTTGGGGTGCATTGGGAAATTAATAAATTACTGTCAATTAATGGCAGTCTCAGAATTTTGAGTATTGAGAGCATGCTGACACTAAGGCTCCCTCCATGTAACCTGACCACAAATGATGGCCTCTCCTGGATGTATTTGACCAGGCTTCCTCCATGTACCTGACCACAATGATGGCCACTCCTGGATGTATCTGAGTGCGTTTCTGTCTGGAGGTCCCTTGAAAACGTCCCAGTTTGAATATGCCCGATAAATGACTATCCTGGCTGGCCCTTCCCGTTCCACTTACCCTAAATCCGTTGGCTCAGAGGTCTAAATGTCCAGAACAGTATCTTTCTGCCTGCTGGTTTCCTTGTCTTTGGTCTCCTGGTTTTACATGTTTCTTTTAATCATCTGTTCTTTTTGCTGTCCTTCTTGTAACGAAAATGCGGTGAACTAATAAAGACTTATAAACTGTGATTTTAAACTCTCCAAAAGCACCCATCTTCCCTGAGCTACACTGCTTAACCTTTCACTGGCATGACCCCAACATGCTAAATTGAAATGCTGTAAAGCCTGCCTGGCACGGTGGGGTACTTAGATGGCCTGACGGACCAAAAACTGACCTGTGTACTCTTGCGTCACCCCTGCGACCGAAATGAGTGGTGGGCTAATTAAACGAAAAGGGATCACTTATCTGCCATGGATCCTGTTCTGTGAGAGATTCTCACCACTTTGGCCTTGTGTCATTCTTGCCTCGCCTAAATCTAATGCTCTGATGGTACCTTCGTTATTGATTTTGTGCAAAGATGACAGATATCCTTTCTTGAGTCTGTCCATCAACAGTCGTGCTTAGTACTCTGGCAGACTCTACACATAGCTTGCCTAAGACCGATGCTCTGGTGGTGCCCTCGTTCTTGATTTTGAGCAAAAACGACAGATGTCCTTTGTTGGGTCTGTCTCTCAACGGCCATGCATAGTGCTCTGGCAGACTACACAGAGGCGGTGGGCCTCACTCTAGTACTTCAAATCTGACAAACTTTTGAGTTTCAGAGGAAGTATACACTTGCTGTTACATGCTGCGCCTGCACATGAGGGCCATTTTCCAGGCCCTGCGTCCTTCAGGCTAAAAGCCTGAATTTCAGGCTGAAAGCCTGAAATTTAGGGCCTACAGGCCCCGTGTCTGTTCAGCTCGTAAAGCTGGAAACAGGGGCCTACAGGCCCTGTGTCGGTTCAGACTAAAAACGGCATGAGCCTTTTTAGCCTGAAACTGAGGGCCATTTTCGGGCCCTCATCAGACCGACCTGCCCCGAAACTCAGGCACCAAACCAGGGTTTTAGGAACAGGCTATTTTTGGCCTGTTCCCACGACAGCCTCATCATTGAGCTGCAGCGCCAGACGCTGGCCTAGTTTGGCATTGGCAAGAGCAGCCTCCTGGACTGCCCGCCTTGCAACTGCAGACAGGCGGACGCAGTCAGAAGGCAGGCCGAGGTAGCACATAGGGACTTCCCATGCACTTCACGGGTAGGCAGGAGGCAGTCAGTAGTCTTGAGGATTCGGCAGCAGCACTCTGGAGGAGCGCTGCAGGAGTAGTTGTAGCATTAGCAGTAGTTTTCAGCGCTGGGCGCTAGTAGCGTTAGTTGTAGTCTTCAGCGCTGGGCGCCATAGCTAGAGTAGTACTAGAGAGAGAGAGAGATTGGGCGGAGGCCAGGGATACTTACCTGGTACGCCGTTGCTCCAGCTTCGTCTTCGAGGTACCTGCAGCACAGCGCCATCTTCGCAGGTTAGTACCTGGCATACAAGAGAGAGAGAGAGAGTTCTTCTTCTTCCTCTTCTCAGTCCACCATCTCCTTCTCACCTTCTCGCTATCTGACTTCACTGCATCTGCAGACTACGAGAGAGAGAGAGAGAGAGAGCTTGGTGACATTGGATCCAGACTCGACATGGGTTTTCAGACATTTTGAAGAGGGATTATATGGGACTTGTAACGAGACTTGGGGTTGACGACTTTCCCATCTCCCCCTTCCTCTTCTTCGTCTGATCCCGTCCTCTTCGTCTGTGTATGTCTGGACCTGGCGCCTCCTTCCTGTGTATAGCGCCAGGCCCCTTCACACTTTGTGATGAGCATGATGTATGTTTGGTCTGTGTTGAAACATTGATTGGGCTAGTCATTAGTATTCTAGCATTCTGCTTCGCTATCTTATACTACGTGAAAGAGGTCAGTCCCGGTCAGGTCAGGACTTGTATCTAAAGTCTTCCCTGCGCTATAAAGCACCATTTTGTATGTATCGGACTGCACATTGCTTGTTGAGATTCTACTTGCACTGCATTGTCCATTCAGTCCTTTTTATCACATTGTGGATCCTCGGTTTATATGTACATCGCCCAACTGGGCATGTAACAGTTGGTATCGGAACACCGCACGTGAATCAGGACAACCTGATCTGACACGTGTGCAGGACCTAGGTAGCTGATTAGGCTTGATTGATTGATTAGAGCACACTAGTTAGCCCCCCAAATCACGATTTTGACCTTACTGCCGAAAATCATTTTTTTTTTTCTTTTCTTGGATTTGTTTTCTCGCTATTTCTGCTGTGGAGAAACGCAATAGCGCAACATCTGAAATTTCCATTTTCGTTTTTCTTCTGAAAATTCGAAATTTCGTTATTGAAAATCCGGAATATCTTTGTTTTCGAAAATTTCGATTTCCTGTTGCATTTCCCGTTATTTAGAAATCCTGAATATTTTTCTTCCAAAAATGGTTTTTTTCTTAAAAACGGTACAGGAAATCCCTCCTGCAGCTATCATTTTCCAATCTGTGCATCTGAGTAATTCGGTACTAATCCCGAAAATTTTGCTGTATTTTATTTTCGGGACTCTCTTAGTCACAGTTCTCTAATCATTTGCAGTCTGAAAGTTCGAAATTCTTTTGTAATTGGTAATTTCGAACTTCGAGGGAGATTGGGAGACCTACTGAACTTGCAAAACTCGGGATTTCTACTGTCTCGAAAATTTTTTTTTGCAAAGTCCAAACTTTTCGTTTTTGATTAGTGGCTCTTTATCTGGGCGGTTTTTCCCACCCACCCTCCCCACCTATGTTGTTGCCCCTCTCGCCTTACCTTTTCTACCTGTCTCCGGGTACCCCCTGCGGCGGCATTGGTGAGTTGCCACGTCAGCAGACCATGTCAGCAGACCACGTCAGCAGACCACATCAGCAGAACACGTCAGCAGGCCACGTCAGCCGACAACAGTGCCACGTCAGCAGCAGGGAGTACCACGTCAGCAGGCCCCCGGCCTGGTCTATGCTGTTGCGTTCACAAACAGTCGTCATGGACCAGAGGTCCGGGGAAACGGACGAGGCCTATCAGGCCTGGATGCTGGCCTGGAGTACCGAAACCAAGAAACGGGCGGATGACGCAGCAACCGCAGTGAAGAAGAAGGCAGAGGACGCCGGGAAGGCACGTCTGTTGGCAATCGAACAGCAGCGCCAGCAAGACGAGGCAGCAGCAAGGGCTGCCGATGAAGAACGAAGTCAACGACGCGAGAAGATATTCAGAAGAGAGCGAGCCTTGCTCACAATGGCAGCGGAATGGCGGACAGAGGCCGAGAATGGAAAGATGGAGGAGAGTGAAAACAAGATCGCTCTACTCCTCTCCCATCTCACGGACCTCCTGACCACGTGCATTGCACAGCAGGAGGACATCCACAGCCTCGACGGCATGGTTCAGCAGCACAAACAGGCGGTAGATAGCCGCCTCCAGCAGCTGGAACAAACCATCGTCGCCCCCGTTGCCAGCTCCTCCAACACCTCCGATCGCATCGAGGCCTTGGAGATTGACGTCGGATCCCTCAAGGACGGCGTGCAGTTACAGCACACCGCGACGCAACAGTTGGAGCAATGCATCTGTGCTGCAGCCGCCAACCCAAGTTCGGGACAGCGGGAGTCAACTCCAAAGTTCGATGGTCAAGAGATCTTCTGCGATTCGACGAAGACGGACCCGATTCCGTGGTTCCGCAAGTTTGAACTCATGTTGCAGCTCCATCTCGTCAGCGAATACAAGCACCACACGTACTTATACTCCCGGTCGGGAGGCGCATGTCAAGCATGGATGGACAATCTCTTGTCCAAGTGCGGGGTGGTTGCTGCAGAGTTGCACACCAAGATCAGTTGGGATGATCTAAAGGCGGCATGGCATAAGCGGTTCCAAGTAGAGCCGCCGGAGATCAAGGCAATGGACAAGCTAAGCAATTCGAGTGGTGGCCAAAACTGCTTCAAAATGTATCCTATTTAGAATCTCAAAAGAATCTAGTCTTATTATACGATCAATATCAGTATACTTCGGTTAATCACATGGATATAAAAAAAAGTACTACTTTAGAAAAAGTCTATATAACTTGTCGACAAGTCTTGGAAAATATTTGGCAAACAAAAAAACTTACTCAAAAACAAAAAAAAATTCTTTCGAAGGCTCGAAAAAAAACAAACAAGGCCGGTGAATTTTCACAAAAATTACAAGCGATTAAAAAGTTATCTATTTTTTATGGTAATCTGCCTGTTCAAAAAGTAGCAAAAAAAACGTATACTTATTTAGACAAACAAAAGAGTTTATTATTATTAATGGAGAAAAGATTGGACATTCTTCTTGTACGTATGAATTTTTGCTCTACTATTTTTACAGCAAGACAACTTATAAGTCATAAAAATATTTGTGTTAATAATCAAATTATCCTTCGGCCTAGCTTTCAAGTTGGTCTTCGAACAAGGCACGCTGCCGAATACCGACTGGATTGCCGAGTACCAACGCTTGACATCCGTCCCAGACATTCAAATGGGCTTCAAAGCCATCCGCCACTATATCTCAAGGTCGTGTCCGGCATTGAGCAATGCCTTGACTCACGGCGAGGACACACTAACGACAACGGCGGAACTATTTGACAAGACCGCGCAGATTATTGTCACGAGTAAGGAGGCTAAGAACCTGCGTTCGTCTGCGGCAGGCCCGAGCAGAGATCAGCATCGGTCGAAAGTGGCCGTGGTCGCGGCGGCAACGTCGTTTGACCAAACTAGCGAGGCTGTGTCTGCCAATGAAGGGGACAAACTCGCAGCCGCCCGGGAAGGTGGCCGCCCTGGCAAAGGCCGAGGACGCGGCAAGGCGAAGACAAACACCGCATCTAGCCCCGGGCCCGGTGCAGCCGCTCCAGCCCCATGGTCCCAATACGGTCTCTCCGAGCAAGCATTCAAAGCACGCACGAGATTTCAGTATTGCCTATGGTGCAACAGCGATCTCCATGAGACAGTGGCCTGCCCGTCAAAAGGCAAGGGCAAATCGGGAAACTGAGCACCGTCGGGAGTGACTCGACGACACTCTCGACGCCTTCGGAACCGGTCACTTCGCGGGTGACCGCCCTTCGTTCCAAGGCACATGCGGAAGTCGATAGTCCTCTTCTTTATTCTTTTGAGGACTATGTTGCTCGGCTTTTCTACGTTGGGTACTCAAGCTCAAGGACAAGACCTGTGTGCGACATCTTCTCCATCCGGCAGCGGCGACTTATCGTCTTCAAGTGGTTCTTCACGGGATTCGGCACGTGAGTTCAACATAGAGGTATTGGACCCGCTCACGTCCGGGGGTTTCGCATGGGCTTCCTCTCCTGACCACGGGCCGCTTGTCGGGACCGCAATGCGCAGCACTATGCGCTCATCTCCACACGTACTTATCCTTCTATGCACCACCAACTTCGCCGACGGATGACGAAGTCGCAGTGGGGGACATCCTTGCGTATGTTCCCAAGGTGGCCCGCGAGTTTCGCACGCAGCGGTACGATGACAACAACGCACCGCTCATGTATGTCCACATCCAGGTTCGGCAAGCGTCCTGCAGCGCTTTGCTGAATAGCGGTGCGTCTCGCAATTTCATGAGCCAAGCCTTTATGCAAAGGGTTGGCCTTGGCGCACAAGTTCGGAGGAAGGCAAACCCGACGGCGAGCAAGTTAAAGACGCAGCGACGTCTCGACCCTTACATCGAGGCCGTACCGGTCTATTTCGCACCGCATGCATGCAAACTGGTGACGTTCGACATTTTGGACACG